ACTTAAGTGGCATTTAATTGGAGTAATAACAAATTACCTTCATACTTTTAAGATCTGAAGTAAACTAAAAATACACTGAAAAGGGTGGTTCACCCAAAAATTTAAATTTACTGAATATTTGCTCACCCTCAAGTGGTTCCTAACCGTTCCCTTCTTCTGTTGAACACAAATGAAGAAAATCTGAAAACCTGTAACCATTGACTTCCATGGTAAGAAAAACAAATATATGGAAGTCATTGGTTACAGTTTTCCACCTTTCTATAAAATATCTTCTTTTGTGTTCAAAAGGTTTGGAACAAGTAAAGAGTTAGTAAATGATGAAAGGTTTGTTCTTTCCTACTATGGAAGTCAATGGTTACAGGTTTCCAACATTCTTCAAAATATGTTCTTTTGTGTTCAACAGAAGAAAAAACTCATGAAGGTTTGAAACAAGTAAAGGCTGAGAAAATGATAGAAGAACTTAGTTCATTTTTTCCTACTATGGAAGTCAATGGTTACAGGTTTCTAACATGCTCTAACATGCATTTTTTGCATGTTTAACGGAAGAAACTCATAAATATTTGAAACAAGGTTGAGTAAATGATTAAAAAATTATGGTTTAGTTTTTCCTACTATGAAAGTCAACAGTTACAGGTTTACAACATTCTTCAAAATACTTTCTTTTGTGTTTTCAACAGAAGAAACTCAAATGTTTAAAAAAGTAAAGGGTGAGTAAATGAAAGAATTTATGTTTTTTTTTTCGTACTATGAAAATTAATTGGTACAGGTTTCTAAGTTTTTTTTTCATGTTTAACAGAAAAAAAGTAAAGATTTGAAACACGTAAAAGGTGAGTAAAAAATTTTACAAATTAGGGTTTGTTTTTTTCCTACTATAGAAGTAAATGGTTACAGGTTAACAATATTCTTCAAAATACTTCCTTTTGTGTTTTCATCAGAAGAAAAAAACTCATGAAGGTTTGAAAAAGTGTGAGTGCATGATGAAAGAATTAGTTTTTTCCTACTATGGAAGTCAATGGTTACATGTTTCCAACATTGTTTAATTTTTATTTTACATGATTAACAGAAGAAAAAAACTCAAAGATTTGAAACAATTAAAGGGGCGAGTAAACGATGAAAGAATTTACGAATTGTTTTTTTCAACTATGGAAGTCAATGGTTACAGGTTTCAAACATTCATCAAAATACTTTCTTTTGAGTTCAACAGAAGAAACTCAAAGATTTGAAACGAGTAAATGATGACAGACTTTTGTTTTGCTTGATCTATTCCTTGTTTGATAAATCCACAACCACGATTTATGAATGAATTCATTTTCTGCATGAACAAAGTATGCTTGTTACTGACTTTGAACACCTAGTCTACATCGTGTGTGACGCTTGTAACTAGTTTCACACTACTTAAAGCACATAGCATTTGCATTCACTACACAAAAATATGTTAATCACCTGACAGCTTGAAATGACCCGAGTCTATAGAGACACAAATACCACGCTTAGAGGTAAAGTTGGTTTTATATCCAAACATTCTAACTTTCTCCTTAAAATAATTTCATAAAAGTATTCTTTGCCAATTATAAATAGTGGAATCATATTATCAAGCAATGACTATCAAAGAACAACAGTGTTACCAGTCAAACAAACCGTGCTAATGTTGTTTAGTCATACTCACAAGTAGATTTCAGACCGAATATTCAAAGTACCATGGTAAACAATATCGGAAGCATGTCACGAGTTATCCTGCACAAATAGTGCGTAATATAAAACCAAGAGGAAATAAAGTAGCACTTCATAATTCAGAAAGTTGGATTTACATTATTTACTTGTGAACACAAATAATAGGGGAGCGCCAGGCACAAAGTAACGCGGGGTTAAATGTGACATGGAGTTTTAAGGTATTTGCTCAGTTATTGAAAAACATTTGCGGAATTTGGATGAGAAACACAGGAGAAACCATTTTTGCAGCATAAAAGTATTTTTTATTATAGTCGATATCGTTTTTTTTTTTTTAATCAGTGAAAGTATGTACATAAAGTCTTATATTGTTGTGATTACAGTCTTCTAGGCTAAAAGATGGAACCATTTTGAAAGATGTAAAACACACACAGTGACTGCTAGTTTTAAGGAAAACATGACACAGCGGGGTTACGCCGAATTCAGACTGCATGATTTTAGTCCCGATTTTGACTCGCCGACAGGTTTTAAAAAATCAGACAAATGCCTAAAATCAAAGGCAAATCGGTGCTCCTGCATGTGAGTAACAGTCACACAGTATGAACTATCAAATACGCGATCTGAGAGAATCGCCAATGCCTGTGAGATATTTGGATTGCTGAATATTTGGAGCTTTCGGCGATTCAAATCATGCTGTGTGAAATGAGTTTTTACTGAAAATAACATCAGCCAATGAGAGAGCAGCATTCACTTGTGTGTGTGTGTGTGTGTGTACCTGCTTGCCAGCGGGAGGTTGGGGGAGAAGTTAAAAGCGCTCATTTTCGCTTTATTTGGACCCAAGAAATGAAAAACTAGTGGAGGTTTGACAGGAGCACCCGTGTCTGTTTGACGTTTCATACAGTAAATTAAAAAAGAAAGTTGAGGAGAAATTGCTAATTACCTTCAAACCCAGGTGAGCAAATATGTACATTTTCTACCCCATTATAAGCTTCTTTCTCGTTATGTAGTTAATAACAAAAGATATACGACGTGTTTTTGGCTGTGAGACGTAGTTTGGATAAAGTTGTCGGCGATTCTTCCTATTGTAAAGTCATGCAATGGGAAAGCCCCTGTCGCCGATCCAACTTGCAGTGTAAACAAAGCAGCGACAAAACGCTAGCCCAGATAGTCATGCAGTGTGAAAACATCTGTGACACGAATACTTTCAAAATCATGCAGTCTGAACTCGGCATTAGTTGTAACAGGGTGTTACAATTAAGCCACACACTGTTGGACATCAATTAAACTAACAAAATAATTTTTTGCATTTTGAGTGTAATGCTGGGAACTTTTTAAATAAAAATGTTTTTGTTTTTTTTATAGAAAAATTAGTTTTAAAAGAAAAAATATATATTTTATTGCTAATAATGCAAATAAATGCATTGTATAATAACGGATAAATTGATAATAATGCAGGTAGATTTAAATGTGTTTATCCAATGAACAAATAAATACATAAACATACTGTGCTATGTAGAATAAAAGAAGAAATGAGTCAACTACTGAGGAAAGATAGCTACTATTTAAAGTAAACTGAATTTAAATTGATTGTGTGAAATCTGCCTTTAAATAGATGTGTTACAACCAACACTCGGTCTGTTACAACTTGCCCCGTGGGTGGGGTAAACTAACATTTTTACTCCTGGCACTTTTGGCAATACTGCACAGAAACCACAGGTCCGGGGATCATAATTCAAGTGCTCATTTGTAGGAGAGTCTTGTGCGTGATTGGTAAAATATATGGTTTGTCTAATCCCATTACTTTTTTCATTATTTGGCCAAAAGCAAAAAGTGTTACTTTGTGCCCCGCTGTCCCCTATATTTTGAAGAATGTTGGACACCGGTAACCATTGACTTCCATACATTTGCTTTTCTTACTATGAAAATCAATGGTTACCGCTTTTCAGCATTCTTCAAAATATCTGTGCTCGTCTAATTTAGTTAAAGTGGGTTTTACATTCACACAACCGTTCATTGTTGAACCGTGCCAGCTTGTGAGATGCTCCCTATATTGTTTACCATGGTACTTTGAATATTCGGTCTAAAATCGCATTTGAGAATGACTTCAAAACAACATTAGCTCTATTTATTTGACTGTTAACGAAATTGTACTTTGAATAGTCATTAGCTGCTAATATTATTACCTTATTTAGAATCTGCAAACAATACTTTTCTGAAATTATATTAAGAAGTCTAAATATGTGAATATAAAACCAACTTTAACGTTACCTAAATTCCAGCCAGTCACTGACTGAAGTGTGCTGAACAGTAAACTGCTGTCTGAGTGGAAACACAGCAGCACTTCATCATTCACAAGTTGTATTTACATTATTTACCTGCTTTTGAACACATAGAATATACTTTAAAGAATGTTGGACACCGGTAACCACTGACTTCCATACATTTGCTTTTCTTACTATGAAAGTCAATGGTTGCAGCTTTTCAGCATTCTTCAAAATATCTGTGCTCGTCTAATTGAGGTAAAGTGGCTTTTACATTCACACATTCATTGATTTTTGAACCGTGATGGCTCGTGAGATGCTTCCTAAATTGTTTACCAGGGTACTTTGAATATTCGGTGTGAAATCGCATATTATATATTATATAATAGCATGTATATATAAATTTTTTATTAACATCTACATAACTATGTATATTTTAGTACTTCTTAGCTATGTTTGATTGGTTGTATAATTCTTGTATTGTTTAATTTTATTTTGTTCAGGGACAACAGATAAAAATAGCCTTCTGGCTAATTCTGGTACATTTGCAGAAATGCTAATTAATGTAACGTCACACTGTCCCTGCTAAATAAACAAATAAATACAATTAACACTATTTATTTGACGGTTAACACTGTTGTACTTTGATAGCAATTGCCTGATAATATGATTTCCTTATTTAGAATCTACTTTTCTGAAATTATATTAAGGCTAAAATCTAAATGTGTGTAAACCAACTTTAACGTTACCTCAATTCCAGCGGCTGTCACTGACTGAAGTGTGCTGTAAGTTACAGTAAACTGCTGTCTGAGTGGAAATACAGCAGCACTTCATCATTCACAAGTTTTAAAGGGCACTTTTAATAGACAAACAAGCCAGACTTAACGTTTTGTTTTAACTTTGTTGTTGTTTATTAGCCATTTGAGAACGTTTAAGTCATCTAAACTAACTTTTGTCGGTTAGCTTGAAGGCTACGTCGCGCACGCGCTAACAGCACATTTGACGCATCTCAAGTGTGTATTTTCTACGCTCTTCTGTGTGTTGTGCTGACTTTACATTAAGTTGCATTACCTTGACTGAATCCACGGGGTACATGACTGTGTGCTCCAGTATTCCGGCCACGGCTCCTGCTGTCATGTGCGTGCCCAGGGAGGCATGAGCGGGCAAACTCTCGTAATCCTCGTCATTTTTCACCGGCTCCGACATCTCCAGGCTGGCCAATACCGCGTCGGTGCGCAACTCCATGCGTGTCTTGCGGCGTTGGAAAGGTTTAAACGCACGGGAGACACGCGGAGATGTGAATCGGCAACACGAGCGCGCACATTTCTACCACAGACACGCAGCTCGTCATCTCAGCGACGCAGTGACGTCAGCGTGACGCAGCGGGCCCGCGCCGGGCGAAGTACATCGAATATTTTTGTGAAAGTTTGTCAATTTTTTAATAATGTAATACTTTCTGGAGTTTGTAAAGTGGCGTGGTTTTGGTCCAATGGTAATTAATACATACTAAAAAAACTCAATCTGACACTTTATCTCTCCACTGTCTGTTTTTTTAAGAGCTAAAGTGGAATGGAGGATGAAACCTGCAAAAACAATTAAATCAATACTCAAATATATAAATAAATGAGTAAATAAATATATAAATTCCTGCAATAAAGAAATAAAGAAATATGCAAATAAATAAATAAATAAAGAGAAAAAAATAACAAATTCCTGTTCAAATAAATATATAAATGATTAATAATTTAATTAATAATTAAATAAATTACACAAATGTTGGAAGAATAAGAAAATGCTGAACTGAAAGTTGACCCCCCCCCTCCCTAATTTTATGACAATATTATAGACTACAGCATGTTATGATTTTTGTTATGGTTCATTATATCACTCAATATGTAGGTTGACTTCCAAAAGCCGCTCATAAATATGCTAGTTTAAAAAATGATTCGTATGTAAATCATTAAAAAGAACCGATTCCCCAGAACGATGCTTCCGCAAATTAGACTCAATTTGAATCTTCTATTAAAGCTGATCGTACATGTGTGTAATTATTCTGCATTCAGCTGATGTAATTGCGTCTTTTTGTGACTGTCATTACACACACGATATCTAGATATTATTGGCCAGATGCATCTGTGAGAGAGCGATAGTTTAGGCGTGTCTTTTCGCAGAATGGATCTGAAGGCGAGTCCAACAGTGTTCACTTTATCATCCTCACTTTATCTGCTCACTCTCTGACCGCGTTTGATACACTTTACAACCAGATCATCTCCATCAAACTCAAACGGCAGTGCAGCTATTATCTTTTTAAAATGAGTTTAGAAGTAAAAGAATCACACGTTGAAAAAAAAAGCACTTTAATAGGCTATTTTCTCTAAATGACTAAAGGATAAGCTTTAAAAGAAAAAGACTATTGTGACATGAATGTGAAAGTCTAAGTGTTTTTTACATTTAGGTTTAGTCATGAAATTTTTATTCTTGCAAATAGCATTTTACATTTTATAACAATCCACAAAACAATCCCCAATTAAAACAATCAACATTTACAAATGAATGAATAAATAAATAAAATAAACAAAATAATAATAAATAAAATAAAATACAAATACAGAAAAAAAAATTATATAAAAAAATTACAATTACAAACCATATACATACATACACATGTACCTTCACTCAATCCACATCTAAGGTTTTTAAGTGATTAAAGAATGCAATAAATTGTTGCCATTTTTCAAAAAAATGCTCTCTCCTACCTCTCATATTGTATTTAATTTTCTCAAGTTTTAAAAAGAAGACCAAATCTTTGAGCCATAATGAAATAGAGGGGGGTTGTGGGGAGGTCCAAGACAAAAGTATTCTGCGCCTAGCGAGAAGAGAGGCAAAAGCCACAATGTCAGCGTGTCTCCGGTTTAAAAGTTGACACTGAGAGGGAACACCAAAGATCGCGATTAAAGGGCAAACAGCTAACTTGACCCCCAGGATATCTGAAACAATTTTGAAGAAAGTAATCCAGTAATTTTGCAACTTGGGACAAAATACAAACATATGACTAAGGTTACAAGGTGATAGTTTACACTTATCGCACATATCAGAAACATTGGGATACATTTTAGAAAGTTTGGCCTTTGAGAGATGAGCTCTGTGTATCGTTTTAAATTGTATAAAACTAAGTCACATTTAGGTTTAGTAATAGAAAGTAATAGTTTTGTTTTTATTTAGTAATAGTATTGTTTACTACCTTTTTTGTTTTACTATTAATTATTATTATTATTACTATTACTTGTTACTATTACTTAGTAACACAATGTATTAGCTTTGCACACTTAATTTCTTGTTATTTGCACTATATAATCACCATTGTGAAAAAGTCCATTTCTTTATTCATTTCTCAGTGAATATAGATAATATATTTTGGTGTATAAGAACAAAACAAATGTACTAAGCTGATTAAAATAATATTTTAGCCACCAAACATTGGCTAAAAATAGAAAGATAATACATGAATTCATTCAAGATTTTGCAAAAAATAAAAAATACAATTTACAAAACTCTAAATATTTTTTCTTTCTTTTGATTTGTCCGTTTTTAAATTTTCATATTGCCCTTATGTTAAAAAAATCTGGGCTACTAATAATTATTAATTTATGCTGAGCACTGTGTTAACAGTCACTGGCCACTTTATTAGGTACACCTTCTGGTACCGGGTTGGACCCTCTTTTGCATTCAGAACTGCCTTAATCCTTCGTGGCATAGATTCAACAAGGTACTGGAAATACGGCTCAGAGATTTTGCTCCATATTGACATGATAGCATCATGCAGTTGCTGCAGATTTGTCGGCTGCACATCCATTATGCGAATATCCCGTTACCAAAGCTGTTCTATTGGATTGAGCTCTGGTGACTGTGGAGGCCATTTGAGTACAGTGAACTCACTGTCATGATCAAGAAAACAAGCTGAGATGATTCACGGTTTATGACATGGCGTGTTATCCTGCTGAATCAGAAGATGGGTAGATTGTGGTCATAAAGGGATGGACATGGTCAGCAACAATACTCAGGTAGGCTGTGGTGCTGACACGATGCTCAATTGGTACTAAAAGACCTAAAGTGTGCCAAGAAAATATCCCCAAAACCATTACACCACCACCACCACCAGCCTGAACCGTTGATACAAGGCAGGATGGATCCATGCTTTCATGTTGCTGACGCCAAATCCTGATTCTACCATCTAAATGTTGCAGCAGAAATGGAGACTCATCAGATTAGGAAACGTTTCTCCAATCTTCTATAGTCCTATTTTGGTGAGCCTGTGTGAATTGTTGCCTCAGTTTCCTGTTTTTAGCTATATACATACAACATAATGCTATTTTTATCGGAATTTCTATATTATGCATTTAAGTTTATTCATAATTAGTAATTGCACATATGCAATGATGAGTATATATAAAAATTAACTGAACTATCAAATAACACTACAACACAACACAAGGGTTACAGTTAAAAAGTTCTACATTTAGTATGTTAGTCAACACATCAGATCAAGCATATTTGTTTAAGAAGATTATAAAAACATTACATTAACACTCTTCTGCATTAGTTTCTATCAGAGCCCATGTGAGCAGATCATATGATTCAGACAGAGTCTGCATGAGCATCAGTTTACAGCGTATCGAAGCAGTTTCACAGGCGTCTCGTGTATGTGTGTGTGTGGACATGCAGCTCTTATGTTTTTGAATAGACCCATTGAGGCTCTTTATCCACCGAGACAGAAGAGTTTAACTTTGAGATCTGCTCTTTCAATATATATTTTAATGGCAAGTGTGGAGGAACGAGAGGAAGCACCAAGAAACGCCTGCAAAACAGATGCTTTCAGAAGATGGTAATGAGTTTAGTCTCAGACACACTCGCTTTGTTCACGGTAACTTGTGAAGAGTTATTATTACTGCTGAAAATACGATAGAAAAGGTTAAAGGAACACTCCACTTTTATTTTTAAATATGCTCATTTTATATCTATATAGCTATAGAGTTTAACTATTGCGTTTTACCATTTTTTAATTCATTCAGCCGATCTCTGTCTCTCACGGGAGCACTTTTAGCTTAGCTTAGCATAAATCATTGAATCGGATTAGACCATTAGCATCTCACTCAGAATTTTGATTTTAATTTTTCTATTTAAGCTCGACTCTTCTGTATTTACATTATGCACTGAGACTGACAGAAAATGAAAAGTTGCTATTTTCTAGGCTAATAATACTAGGAACTTCTCTTATTTTGTCGTAATACTCAAGCCATGGTAAGGCAGAAAGTTTCTTAATTATTACGGCAGAATAAGAGAACAGTTCCAGGCCATAGGAGTCTAGTAAATAGCAACCTTTGATTTTTAGTCTTAGTACATGATATTACAAGAAAAAAAGTCAAATTTTAGGTAGAAAAATAGTAAAAACTCTGGTCACTTTGAGTGAGATGCTAATGGTCTAATCTGATTCAGTGATTTATGCTAAGCTAAGCTAAAAGTCTCTCATCAGAACCAGGGAGTGGCTGAATGGATTAAAAAAAGGGTAAAACTCAACTTTCTAACACCAGACAGCCTTAAAATTAACATCGCATGGAGGTCGGGGACAGTACCTCTGGACTGGGTAACTGGGTGGTGGTTCCCATTTTTAAGAAGGGGGACCGGAGGGTGTGCTCCAACTATAGGGGGATCTCACTCCTCAGCCTCCCGGGGAAAGTCTATGCCAGGGTACTGGAGAGGAGGATTTGGCCAGTGGTTGAACCTAGGATCCAGGAGGAATGAGGTTTTCGTCCGGGCTGTGGTACACTGGACCAGCTCTATACCCTCACCAGGGTGCTCGAGGGTTCATGAGAGTATGCCCAACCAGTCCACATGTGTTTTGTGGACTTGGAGAAGGCATTCGATCGTGTCCCTTGTGGCATTCTGTGGAGGGTGCTTTGGGAGTATGGGGCCAGAGATGATCTGTTGAGGGCCGTCTCGTCCCTGTGTGAACAGAGTAGGAATTTGTGTTCGCATTGCCGGCAATAAGTCAGATTTGTTTCCAGTGCATGTTGGACTCCGGCAGGGCTGCCCCTCGTCACCAATTCTATTCATAATTTTTATGGACAGAATTTCAAGGTGCAGCCTGGGCTGGAGGGGGTCCGGTTTGGGGACCACAAGATTTCATCTTTGTTATTCGCAGACAATGTTGTTCTGTTGGCTTATTCGAACATGGACCTTCAGCATGCACTGGGGCGGTTTGCTGCTGAATGTGACGTG